CTATGACATTTACAATTTATATTAAGTGTTTTCAATTTTTGTCACCCCTCGAAGAAGAAATAGTAGTAGTAGACTTGGTTGCCAGCTAGAAGGGATCTTTCTTGCCGAAGAAGTAGAGTGTACTCCCATTCGGAATTCCGAAGGACAGACCTTCTTTCCATTAGTTCGAGTTTCGACGATCTTTCTTGTCGAAGTAGAGTGTACTCTCACTCAGACTTCCGAGGGACAACATTTGCTTCCATTAGTTGCTAAAGTAAGAGTGCTCCCACTCGAACTTCTGAGGGACAATCCTTGCTACCATTCGAACTTCCAAGGGACAACCCTTGCTTCTATTAGTGCGAGTTTCAAGGATCTTTGTTGCCAAAGTAGGGTGTGTGCTTCCACTTGAATTTCCAAAGACAGCCTTGCTTCCGCTCAGACTTCCGAGGGACAATCTTTACTTCCATTAGCGCGAGCTTGGTAGACTCAGTTGCCTGCCAGAAGAGATCTTTCTTGCTTAAGTACGGTGTGTGCTACTACTCGGACTTCTAAGGGATAGCCTTGCTTTCGTTCGAACTTCTGAGGGACAGCCCTTGCTTTCGTTAGTGCAGGTTCTGACAACCCTGTGGTCGTGGAGTTCTTACAAAAATTCATTCACCTCAAATAGTAAACCGACAAACAAGACAAGCAATATCAATTTTAGATCATGATTCGAGCATTATCGAAATAGGGCAACATCAACAAATAATAATGATCTACTTAAGCTACAACAATTCTATTCCTCCAAGCAAGTTCATGAAAATGCAACAATCAAAGTTTTGTCTCTTCAGGTTGGTTCCTCCAAAGCCAACGCAAAGCAACAAAGTTCAAACAAAATTTCGACATCAACTATTTATTTCTTCGATTATCCACAAGTTCAACAAACAACAATATATCATTTTTTATTTTTCAACAAGGTATTTCATCATATCAACAAATTCTAAAAGGAATTCTACATTACGAATTCAGGCATGATGTCTACCATTCTCGGAGTTACAACAATCAATCATTCGATAACAAAATTCCATATTCAACATTATGCTTTCATCAACAAACCCACTCCTTCGGAGATCAACAACTACACATTTGTTCTATTCTCTTCAGATTTTCAACAATGGTGTTCAACAACAAATTGCAATAACCCTATGGCTTTCAACAAGCCCACCAAGATTCAACAAATTTTCAAATTATTGCAAGGCCAAGTAAAAAGATTACAAATCTATTTTATCAAACACAATTTCAAGGCTCAATAGTATACATTCCAGGGCAACGAAAGCCAAATCTCTTCAACAAAATTAGCAAGGATTCAACATTGATTGTTCCAGTATTTCACAAAGGAAAAATCAAGTTCTCTTATGAAGATGTGCAATAGCAAAAATTTATGGGTTACATTATCCAGAAGTTTATATCACACAAATCAGAGTTTATACGAAACACAAATAAGGAATTCAAAAACGGGTTTCAACAAATAGTTACTCAGATTTGGAGAAGCAAAATATATGAAGTTAGCTTGAGAAGGGGTGTAAACCAGCACAAACTAAAGTTGGCAAGCTTAGACCGATGCCAACCAAGAAAAACAACAAAGAAACCGAGTCGTGGCGTGAACAATGCAAGCGAGAGCCGTCTGTGTTCGGGACTGAGCAGATCAGCGGCTCAAGTTGCAGCGAGCAGCGGCAGTCCCACCGCGAAACAGTACTGGAAATGCGAAGTCTGGATTTGGCATTGGTCGTTGCTGATTCTAAAAAAGAGAGAGGCCGCAAGCAAGACCGAAGCAAAGGGCACCCGACGCCTACCAATGGCGGAGGTCCCCGTGTCCAGAGCTGCAGCGATGGTCTTCGGTGGTTGCATGAGAGAAACAGAGCCTTGGTTCGATGTTTATATAAAAGAAGAATTCGAAGTTGGTGGTCACTGTATTCTTGATTTACAGAAGAGAGAAATGAGAAATGGGTCTTTAATGTTGGACTTTTCAAGATATATAAAAAAAAAAATAAGGGTTTGTTCGTTTCTTTGTTTTGACTTCAAGTAGGAAAGATTCAGCTATTCAATTTCTAGAAAGAGGAAAAATGTGGGCCATCATTTTTTCTAGAGAAAGAACAAAATTGGGTACTTGATATTTTACTTCGGAAAAAAAAAAAAAAAAAAAAAAAAAAAAAAAAAAAAAAAAAAAAAAGAAAAAGTCAAGTTTTGTTTTTCTTTTTCTGTTCATTTCTAGGAGAGAATTATTTTCCAGCATTCTTGGTGGAACATTAAAGAATTCAAGTTTTAATTTTATCTTGAGAAAACAAATTAAAGGGCACAAAAATTGTGTTTGTCAAACATAGCATAAGGACAAAAAAGATTATTTCATATCTTTATTAGTTGTCAACCTTATTCATAAATCATGATGAGTTGTCAATCTTATCCATAAGCCACATGAAGACAAAATATGTCCGAGGGAATGAGACAAGACATCTGAGGAAATGAAACCAAGCATGGCCGAAGAAGTGAAAATATGCATGTCCAAGAAATTCAAAATTTCCCATATATGCAAGGAGCAAAATGTAAGAGGGGTTAACTTGAACCCATTAAATTAATTGGGTCCAATCAGAGCCCAATCAGAAAGCCCAAAACTTAATGGGTCCGAAGAAATTACCACCAAATGGGCCCAAATGAATTCTATTGAATGGACCCACAAGAAAATCAACAAATTTGTCCAAGAAAGACCGATCAGGCTTACATTTCTATAGAAAGTCCAACAATCCCATCTGAGGAGGCCTAGATCATATGGGCATCCGAGAAGGTTGATCGTTGCTTTCAAAAAAGATGAAACCCTCGGAAGAGATCCATTCTCTGAGGTATTTGCTTAGTCTCAAAAGGACTCAGAACCACGAGCCTAGAGACCTATTTGAGCTCAGACTCGAAAGAGTTTGGATCCACGAACCTAGTTGTCCGAAGCACTTGGCTTCGAACGAATTTGAACACAATCTAGAAGTCGTTCTGTTAACGAGTCCCAAAACACTTGCGGGCTCAAAGCTTTCTGGGATCTACGCACCAGAACCATAGGCGTGCTGGAGTTCAAACAAAGGACATAATCCCGAAGACAGTGAGTGGAAATAAATTCACTCTTTGGTTAAACTAACTTATACCCGGGTCGAGGTAGCACGATCTAGGAGGTCTTTGAGACTCGATAGTATTTACAGCAAGGCGTTCTCTTAAATTACCCTGACCTTTCTGCGGCAAGGCGTTGTCTGGGACTACCTCTGATCCTTTGGGATGATTGAAGATCATTGATTAGACATGGCTAAAAAGAAGGGTTCGCCAAGAGATTGATCTCCTCTTAGGATTTTCCTCATCCTCGGAGAGGCCACTTCCTTGGACAAGGTAGTTAGAGAGAATATTCTCCATGTGCCTTGTACATGAACTCCATCCTACATCATGAGATGCCTATAAATAACACCAACCATAGATTTATAAGAGAGGGATTTTGGAGAGAGAATTTTTTAGAGAGAACTAATTTTCCTTCTCTATTATCTACCTTGAGAGTGAAAGTAGGAGATCCATGAGAGAGCCTTGCCATTATTCTCTCCCTAACTACTTTGTATTCTTCTTCACTCAATCTCTTATCTCCATCATCTCTTTGTTATTGTGTTTCTAGTTGCAAAGCCTCGCATCACTTCTAGAGAATTCAAATATTCCAGCGACATTCAAATTTTTCGGCGACCTTCAAATTTTTCGGTGACATCCTCAGACCCCCTCATACAAGAAGAAAAGCAAAATTATAAAATAGGAAAACTTTTCAACATAACAAATATATATATACATATATATATATATATATATAATTTCAAAAATCATAACCATTTTCGATAATATTCAATCTTCTAAAAATTAGAAATATAATATCCAACAAAAGGTATAAACCATAACATTCAATCTTTTATCACTTTTTGCTATCTTTTGATCACGTTTAGTCATTTTATATTGAATAGTTTTGAATCCCTGTGAGTATGTCCACAAAAAAAGCACTTAATCAACAATTGAAGTAGAAAAATAGGTAAAGCCTATAAAGCCATGCCTTGCTCCTCGAAAAAAAAGCTCTCGCATCAGCGCCTAAACTGCGCCTTGCGTATTGTGCTTCACCTCAACCTGTTCGAAACGCAAGGTTGTGCCTCATTGCGCCTCTCGCTTAGGCGGGTGCCTTTTAAAACATTGGGGTAGGGTCAATTTTTTTTATTTTTTATTTTTTTAAGGGGAGGGGAGGGGTGGGAATTAAGCAACCTGATTGGGTTCGGGAAGAGTGCATCCCGCCCTGAATATACAGCTATTTTACAATGTTACCCATGTATATGTAAAGGCTAAAAGTCTCATTCACGCAACTCGCATACAGTCCACAGATGCAGCTTGTTGGAGAGATGCACAGCCTCTATGGCACCATAAGGCTAAGGCACACAGCTCCTCTGGCCTCCTATGACGACTTCATTGACAAGTTTTACTCCATGCTCTTAATTTTTAAGGATCATAAACATACATTTTAGTATTACATGTAAAAAATCCCACGAGTTTTGGTACCAGAGTAAACCAATCCCATGAAGGATTCACAAGAAGAGATTAACTGATCAGCGATATGATACTAATTAACTACTAGCCAAGTAATTCTGTAGCCTCAACACACTTTAGTGTTGTTCCTCAAAATGCGAGGACTTTTACCACAATCATGCTCATAAATGAACTCCAAATTCTAGATGTATTGGTACACCTTAAACTCTACCTAGTAAACCCAAATGCACTGAGAATTAGCATATATAGATAACAATAAGAACACTAAGAAATAGTATATTCCCAAGATTGTGTTTTAGAACATCTTAGTAGAATTTTCGGGTACCATAGGTCCACGAGTCTGAGATATTCATCAATAACAAGTATTACAAAAGATAATAAGTTCCTGACATATCATTTTCAAAAAAAAATAATAATAAGCTCATAATCTGTCAATGTAAACTTACACGTAAAGCCATCTTCTTAAGTTTGTTCATTGCAGAAAATTGCTTCAGGCGTGATAGCACTGCGGAATCAAGAGGTTTATCTGGGGCAACTCTGTCATCAACAATCCATTGGTGGCCTGAGAACAACAAAAAGAACAGAAAAGAAAAAGATAAAAGAGTCACTTCATTACAATCACCTCATAGAGATGCAATGGTGAACCATGCTATTACACAATTAAACCATACTTTCCCACAAAATTCCAACATATCATCTTCCTTTGCAGTGGTGAAGGAAACTTACACAAAACTTCATGGGCAGATAGCCTTCTCTTTGGATTTCTGTCAAGCATTTTCCGTATTAGATCCTTGGCACTGTCTGAAATTCCAGGCCATGGTTCAGATTCAAAATCTAATTTTCCTTGTAATATCTGCCGGAAGATCCCCAATTCAGTTTCTGGAGTTAAAAAGAGGTACAAAATCAGCATTAATATTATGTATTGAAGCAGAATGAATTTTTAGAATATATTACGTGTCCTCCATCATGCATATTAAGTCAAAAAAAAAAAAAACTGGAAAAGATAGCTACCAGCCCAAAAAGGTGGAACGCCACTCAGTAAAATGTACAAAATAACTCCAGCACTCCATACATCTGCTTCAGGTCCGTAATGCTTATGCAACACCTCTGGCGCAACATAATATGGACTCCCAACCACATCAGAAAAAGTTTCACCTAGAAAAAAAGGAAGCAACCAGCAGGTCATGTCAAAATGAGGCCAAACCAACAAGTAACAACTCGCGAGGAAAAGCAAAAGTTGTCTCATTTAGTGTAGAAACAATCGATAGGATGAATAACAAGACAACCAAAGATCATGCACAATAAAAATTTGACTTCTTTCTAAAAGCAGGTCGTACTTTTCCTAAGTCAATTTGTACAAGCTTCAACACTCTTGAAGACTCCATGCTCTCTAGACTCTCCATCGTCTCTCTCTCCTACAGGGTAGCTTTCTCTCACACCTAAGCTTTCCCATGGTCTTTGTTTGGTGCCTTAAGACATGTTTTGCCACCTCTCCATCAAACCTCCACAGTTTGACCCACATTAAGTCCCTTTGGTTTATCTACACTATTATATATGTAAAGGCTGTGTTGATGTGACTTTTTGTATTTTTCAAAATACCCCTATAGCAAGTTTACACCACCCCCCTCCCCCCCCAAATATCTAACTTCTGATTTTTCCAAACTCATTTTATTTTCTATATTTTGAATTCAATCATACAGTTTATAATTATTTTTCTGAAATAAAATAATCATATGTGCACGCATCGCATGCCGTCACTTCTAGTAGAGTATAAAAGCAAGACATGTAACAAACGACCCACTTGGTTTTCGTTCTCCTTTTTTTTTCCCTTATCCATAATTGATATCACATACTCCCTCCGTTTTTTCAATTTTATTTGTCCCCGATGATTACACACAAACCTCAAAGAAGTAATTTTTTACTGAAAAATTTATAAAAATGTCCTTTGTCTTGTTTAAATAATTTTGTTGGGAATGAAAATTGTATTTAAATATAAGCTTAATGAAGAGTAATAAGGGAAAGTGATGGCTAAAAGTTTTAACTTTCCAAACTAGGGCACATAAATTGAGAATTCACAAAAATGAATATTGGACACATAAAATGGGATAGAAGGAATAGTATAAGAGTGCAAACGCAGTATACAAAAATAAGGTTCCCTTTATATGGGGGACATATTACCATGCACACAAACAATACCAAAAAAAAATTAAAAATAATAATAGAAGAAGAAGAAAGGAAATCATGTAAACTGGTCCTGAAAAAACAATATCATGTCAGAATACAAAATTAAGTGTATAAATGAAAAAACTCAAAAGACAATTGCACTCTCAAAAATTTCAAGTTAAAGATCAATGATTTTTCCATACATCAAAATGAGTACAAGAAACTGGACTAATAGTATTCAAAAACCCAAAAGATACAATAAATTACTTTGGCTAAATGGAAACAGAATCAAGAAGGAAAAGTTATATATCATTCACAAAAGCACATAAAAAATAAATAAAAAATCATTTCATTAGGCACTTTTTGGCCCCCATGGAAAGAGAGGTGAAACATAATGCAACAATGGGAGAAAACTTTACTTGTAGATGTCATTTCTCCTTCCCTTTTTCTTGACTTTATGGCTATTTTTAGAAATTTTAATTTTAAAATCTAATATCAGATAATAGCATTCACGGGAAATGTACAATTACAAATCAAGCACAAAAACCCAATTCATTTCCACCAAAATATATTAATTAATTAATTAAACAAATTAGAAGAAATACATAAATACCCAATACACTAATCAATCACACAATCATTTTTTTTTTTTTTAATAGAAGGAAGACAACATTAGGACTTTCATTACTAGAGGATATAAAAATGAGTTGAGAAATACACCCAAACCTGAAACCCATTGAAAATCATGAAAATGTGGAATTGAATTAACCAAATTAGCAATCAACCACAAACCAAAAACAACCATTTCATTTTGTCCAAAATGAAAAAGGAAATAAAACTAGCATTACCAACATCCTATATATGTATAGATTTACACTGATACCATGTTAGCAGATTAGTTAATTAGATTAGCAAGACTGAGCACTCAATGCCTCTCCTTAAGCTTAAACTCCAAATCTTTGGGCATTCAACACTACTCCATAAGTTTAAAACCTAAATATCCCTCTAAAAATCCAGAGGTACTCGAGTTGCAAACCCAATAGATAGCACACTCCCAAAACAACCCAACATTTCAGAATACTCAATTTAATTTTTAATTTTTAATTTTTAACTTTTAACTTTTAATTTTTAATTTTTTACAAAACCCAAATTACAGATCAATCAGGAAACTCAAAACAACCATACAAAATACATCAATTTAAATACACACATAGATGTACACATAAGCACACACACATTAAAAAAAAAAAAAAAGTAGTATAAATAGGTAAAGAAAGAAAAACAAACAAACTCAATGAAAAAAAAAAATTTACCTGGCTTGTAGAAGACAGACAAGCCAAAATCAGTAGCCTTGAGGGCAGCATCCTCATCAGTACTAAGGAACAAGAAGTTCTCAGGCTTAAGATCTCTATGCATAACGCCCAAAGAATGACAAGCCTCCACAACCCCAACAATGGTCTTAATGAGCTTGGCAGCTTCTCTCTCACTGTAATGCCCTTTCTGTACAATCCGATCAAACAACTCTCCACCAGCACACAATTCCATGACTATATGCACATAGAGTCGATCCTCATAAGTACCCTTGATTCGAACCACATTCGCGTGTTCAGAGAGATGGTGCATTATCTGAATCTCTCTCCAAACATCGTCATAGTCCTCCTTGCAGATGAGCTTCTTCTTTGGGATCGATTTGCAAGCGTAGTTAATCCCAGTAGACTTCTCTGTGCAGAGATGGGTGGTTCCGAACTGTCCTTGCCCTAGCTTTTTCCCGATTGTGTAAAGATTTTGGAGACTTTGGGTCTTGTAGGGAAGGACCCATATGGGTTTTGATGGTGGTGGAGCTGGTGGTGGCGTTACGGTGGCTGGTTTCTCCATTCCTGGTGGTGGGTTTGTTGAATCTGAAGAAGAAGACATGGGTTTTGTAAACAGAGATTGATTGTTAAGTGTTTTGTAAACACTAATTGAAAAAGGGAAGATCAGGCTAGACCTCCTTCAATCTCTCTCTCTCTCTCCCCTCTAGATTTTCTACTATATGATTCATTTCATTCTCTCTCTCTCTTTCTCTTTCTCTCTCTAGAGCTTTGGCCAGCAGACATGGCCTTTAGTTTGGTTTCTCTCTCTCCTCTCTCTCTCTCTCTCTCTCCTGTTTGTGCAGTCTCCTCCGGACCGCCTCACGAGTCAAAAAGACTTTTTTTTTTCTTTTTTTTTTTTCTTCCTGTTTTGCGGTGCGGAGGAGACAGGTCTAATTTTGTATTTATCTTTGCCCTGTTTGGTTAGGATGGAATTGTTGCATTAAATTTTATATTATTATAGAATAGAATTATTTGGTAGACTCAAAGACAATGGGATAAATTTGAATAAATCTGTTTGGATTTTGAATTTTGAATTTTAAATTTTAAATTTTGAATTTTTTATATTTTGTATTTTCATAATTTTTTTATTTTTAGGTACACTAGTTTAGATGTATTTACAGAATAAAATATTTATATTTTTTTTTTAAGAAATTCATCAAATACAACAAAAAAAATTACAAAATTTTATACATTTTGTATTTTTTGAATTTAGTAAATATTTGTCCATAAATAGTTTACTTTTTTAGTGTACCTAGTTTAGGTGCATTTAAAAAAATAAAAATGATTTAGACCAAGAGAGCTCTAATGGAGCATTAATTTGTCTTTTTTCTCCCCATTTTTTATCTTTTACTTCACTTCTTTTTCTTTTTCTTTTCTATAGGTGGACAGCTCATTAGAGCTGCACTATAGCAGCTCTAATTAGAACTCTACAACACTTTCGTTAAAAAAAAAAGCTTACTAAAATGTGGAGAGAGAGAAGAAAAAAAAAGCACTGAAGACAACAAAATGCAAAAACAAAAAAAATCTAAAATTATATTTGAAAACTCAAAATAAAACATTTGATTAATTTATTTTTTTTAAATGTAAAGACTATCTTCAATCTTTAGTCAAACTTTTATTTAATATGAATCATGGACAAAATTAAATTTAGGCATAAAATTTAATTGGTTTTGAAATTTTGAGTAAATATTTGAATCTTTCTTGATTTGAATGTAAATTTGGATAAGGATTGGATTAGGTTTTGAGTGATTTTTATCTAAATTTAAATTGAAAAATATTTTTAAACTTTTAAAATATCTTTAATAAATTGACTTTCAATATCATAGACCATTGCTAGTTATTGAATTTTTTGACAATCAACCAAGTGCAATCCTCAGCCACGTCAATGTGAATCAATTTGAGGTTTGGTTTGGGATGTTTTAAAAAAATGTATTTTTTGATTTATTGGCTAATATGGATTGAGTTTGATGTAATGTGTTAGAGAAGTGATGTGATTTAAATAGGATGATATGACTTAAATAGGATAGTGACTTTTTGACTTTTTTAAGTTATGCCAAGAGTGATTGTTTAGAGGTCTGTAGATTTATTTATTTAAATTTGATATAAGTTTGAATAGAGAATTAGAGATACCTAAGATAATGAAAAATAGATGAGTGGATAAATTACAGTAATAGTTATTTTTATTTGACCAAATTTTCACTTTTATTCATGTTGTTTTAATTTTATAAATTAAACTCTATATTTCTAATTATATTTTAATGCGATACATAGGGATCCCCCGGTCCATTTTCACTGCTTGCCCTCACTCCTAACCCGACCCTCACAGATTCTCTCCCACCCCCACCTAAACCTACAAATATAACTCCCACCCTGGCTGTATCTGATTCCCAACATAATAAGAAATTTAACAATAATATTAAAATTTAATAATTAAAATTAAAAAATGCTATATATAATTTAAAATATATACTATACATTGTACATATATTAAAATTATATTATATAACATAATAAAAACTCAATAGATATTATATATTCTATAAAAATTCAATAATACATTATACATATAATATATTAATTATTTATTATATATTTCCACATAGCTTAGGGTTTAGGTAAAAAAATACTCTTCCCCATCCCCAACCCGAACCTAATCGGGTTTTTCTAAAGTTTTTTCAAATCCGATCCTACTTTATTCGACCACCTCCTAAACCCATAACATTAGAGTCAAAGGGAGTTGGGACCCAACAGATCGAAGCATTTTACCATCCCTAGTGATACATATGTCAATTATCATTAGTATTCTTGACGGGGAAAAAAGCCATGTCCAACTCATGTGAAAATTTTAATAATTCTCATACAATAAAAGATAAATAATTAATTTATACTGGTAGTTCCTACCATTGCATTCAAATTTTACTTTAATCCCTTTAATTTTATGGATGTCATTTTTCATAGAAAAATGTCATAAGCAACTCATGTGACATAAGAAATAAAAATAATTAATTTACACTGGTGGTGGTCTTTATAGTTTATTTTGATTTCTACTTTGATTCCTTTTGTTGCACAAATGTTATTCTGTTTAAAATGTTAATGGCAACTGAAAAAGGGACCACATTTAAGCAAAATTAAAAGTGTAAGATTTAAATTAATAAATTTAAAATTATGAGAATTAAAATAAAATTTTACTCAAAATTAGAAGGACTATGGCATAATTTATCCAAGATAATTTGAAGTTGAATTAGATGAGATTCAATAATCACCCACGTGGGAGATTGATAATATGATTCAGATTTGCAATTTGCAATTTGCAATTTGATTAAACGAATGCCTGACTAAAAGGATTCTTTGACAAATCAATAGCAGATTAATTATAAATATTATAATTAAATTTAAAAGTTAGTCAATTGTTGTCCAAATATACCTAATTTGAACCCCAACAATTAAAAATATTTATCTATACAAAAATGATTTGGACCCCCAATTTTTCAAACCCCCATGACCCCCAGTGTTTTCTTATTGGCTGGAAATTTTTTTTTTTTTTTTTTCCTATCATATTATAATTAAATTTAAAAGTTAGTCAATTGTTGTCCAAATATACCTAATTTGAACCCCAACAATTAAAAATATTTATCTATATATATAAAACAAAAAATTGATAAAGATGACTGAGAGACAAAATTTTACAACACGAGTCTCACATGTCCTAATCTAATACTCTAATCTGTATAAACAAATACACCCTTAAAATTTTCCGCATTGGAGACCATTATTAAATTTGAATTTATTTTAATCTTATGAAACTCTTTTTATATGAATAGATTTATTGCAATTTTGACGTTTAACTCATTAAGTTATTCAGGTCTCGTTTGAGAACAAATTAATTTAGTAATTTTTTTATTATTTGACTAAAATATGAGCTAAAAAAACTAGTATGTTTAAAATGATTTTTTAACTTTTTATGAAAAGATGTGCAAAAAGTAGAGAAAAAAATAGAATTTTTAATTTTTTTGTATGAATTATTGATTTTTTGACTTTTTTAATAATTTTTTAACTAAACCAATCACTTTCCAAACGAGACCTCAATGTTTAACTCAGAATTACAGTTTTAATGCCAACTGCTAGGGTCAAACATCAATTTGTTTGTGTAAGGATGGGTTTAGAATTAGTTTATTTATATATTTTCCGGTTGTTTTGTTGTCTTTATTTGTAATTTTTTAATGAATATGCAAACTTTTACTTTTTAGCAACTTTTAACCAAAAAGGCTATAAAACAAAGATGGTTATTGTATTTTTTTTAATTTTTATAAAATACAAATAGCCCTCCTGATATTTATTTAAAATAAAGATTGCACCTTATAGTTTTATAAATTACATCTCGTTTCTTTAATTTCTAATCGTATAATAAATAATTTATTTTATTAAAAATTATCAAATAAATTAATAGTTTTTAATGATATCATAAATATATTTTAATTAACAATTTAGATAATTTTATTGTTATATAGGAGAGAAGTTAGAAACTTTATTTATTTTTGTTAATTCTATAAAATAAAAAGTGCGGCAATGAGATATTTTTAATTTTTAAGACCACATGGACAATTCATATTTTGAGCAAATTTCAAAGAATGTATTTGTGATTATAAACCAAAATTAGATATTACATCAACTTTTTCACTAAAAGAGTTTTGGTGGCTAGTTTATTATTAAAATAGAGGGTAAATTATAACTACAAATACACTATATGAGATTTACTTAATTTACCCTCTCTTTTGAAAGTTATGGTGGCTAATTTACCTTCTCTTTTAAGGCTAAATTAGCACATCAACGTTTAAAAGTTTCGGTGGCTAGTTTATTATTAGTTTAAAAAGTCAGATATCATATCAAATTTTTCACTAAAAATAAATAAATTTTTAAGACTCCTAAAAAAGCAAAAAGGTATTAAAATTCCCACCCCAAACCACCACTTAAAATTGATTTCTATGCAAAAGTGAGCAATTTCCTAAAAATTTAGATTTGTAACACATAATTGACATTGTTATAGTGAAGAGAAAAAAAAAAAGTGTTGCACACTTTTTATGCCTCTTATTGTAAGGGCCAATAAAGGAGACAAATCTTTGTTGAAATCAATCACTTATTCTTGAAGTTCTTGTACTTCAATCTAATGTTGTGAGTTAATCTAAATTGTTTTATTGAAAACCCTTACTATTATATTTTTTTAATAAGTTTTCGTTTGTTAATTATATATTTTAATCAAAAAATTATTATAAATTGTCCAATCACTCTTTTTATTTTTTTATACATCTTTTCATAAAAAATTAAAAAATTATTAAAATAACTTATTCCCAAACTAAAAGTCTCTCTTAATAGCACTAAATAAATGTGTAATGTATGTATATAATGTTATGCTGACTGCCTTATGGTCATATGGGGTTGGCTCTAGTGATTGTAGCCTCCTTGTAGCCTTCAATTGAGAACCTCTAGACTTTTTGCACACTTTTTATGCCTCTTATTGTAAGGGCCAATAAAGGAGACAAATCTTTGTTGAAATCAATCACTTGTTCTTGAAGTTCTTGTACTTCAATCTAATGTTGTGAGTTAATCTAAATTGTTTTATTGAAAACCCTTACTATTATATTTCTTTAATAAGTTTTCGTTTGTCAATTATATATTTTAATCAAAAAATTATTATAAATTATCCAATCACTTTCTTTATTTTTTTATGCATCTTTTCATAAAAAATTAAAAAATTATTAAAATAACTTATTCCTAAACTATAAGTCTCTCTTAATAGCACTAAATAAATGTGTAATGTATGTATATAATGTTATGC